AACATATTAATCCCAAAGATCCCATAACAGAATGATGTAAATGTCTAAATTAATTTTATAAACATCTAAATATTTATGATAACTGATAGTATTCACATCTAAAAGTATTAAATTAAATTGAAAATACAATATTATTGACTAAAAATACAAATATCAATCATCCTTAAATTACTATATGATTTTAATATAATTATAATTTGAGTCTCAATATTTTTAGTTGAGAAAGAAAAAGATCAACATCAGACTGATGTGGGAAAATACATGTTTAAATATAGACAAAATATTTTGAAATTAGAATGATTATTGATATTATTATCATATTCCATAAAATTATATACTGTAATCATAATAGTATGGAAAATAAACCAAATTAATAAAACAGAAACAAAAGCATATACACACATGTGGGTGTGTATATATTAGAATTATATATTATATATTAGAATTTATCTCATATATACACATATATATTAGAATTTTTTAATTAAAAAGTTTAGAATTGAATTTAGTAGGAAAAATGTTCATTTAAACCAGTGTTAATAAAACTGGCTATCTAGAATAAAATAACATTTTATCCCATATCACACACCATATAAAATACAAATCAGATGAATTGTAAACTCAAATATTAAATGAATAAAATAAAATAATTTACAGGCAATTAGCATAATATAAGCTAAGTTTCAACATATCATTTGTAAGAAAACTAAGAAGCCATAAAGAAACATATTTACTCTGCAATTAATTCTTTGGCATGCTATATAATATAGTCTAAACAAAATCAAATGAGAGATTGAGAAAAATATTTTGCAATGTTAATGAAGAAAATTATCTATAATATAAAGCACATTAGTAAGAAACTAATTTTAAAAATATAAAAGAAATCTTATGAGAACAAGTAAAAAATTAAATAGCCTACCACAAAAGAGACAAGCCAATGACAGTGAATAAGTGGAAACAGGTTTAAACTCAGTACTCTTGGAAATGAACATTTAACAAAAATAATTTAGCACTCATCCATCAGACTGACAAAAATTAAAGAGTGATAGGAACTTCTGATGTTTGAGATGAAATAGAAGGTAGTATGTCACAATGATTTCTGGAAATAAATTTAATCATTTTGGAAGGCAATCTGGCAATATAAATTTCAATTAAAAATGCCGTATCTCTCCCATGGAATTATCAACACATTTACTTTAAGATATCTATTATACAAAATTTACTCTAACATCTTTCTTAGTTACAAAAGATAAGAAGCTAAGTACATACTTACCCGTAGTTTAATGATTAGATAAGTTGAGGTTTGGCAATACCATTAAATAGAATTGGTTAGTTTTACATCAGGCAATTCAAAACAGATTTCTCAAAAGTGTGGTTGAGAGCAGATGCAAGGAAACAGTGTGTACAATGTGACCCCACCTACTGAAAATGACAAACATTTCCCACACACTGATGTTTTCATATGATAGGAGCATAATAAACGCTATGGAGAGATTCATGAAAGACTGTTAACTTATAGAGGAGTTTAGAAGAAAGCACACAAAAAAAAAAACCTTTGAAATCTGCAAAATAAATTATGTTCTTAAAATAGATGACAATATGATATATGTGGATAGACATAGAAAAAATATTAAAGCAAATTTCTAAAATATTATTGTTCTTTATGAGTGGCAAGATTCTTTTGGTTTCTATATTTTCTTTCATTTTGTTTTGTATATCATGTAAATGTTTCACAGTGACAGTGACAAGGAGAAAAGGGAAATGATAATTGTAGAAAAAGAAATGCAATTTTTATAACCCATATTTGTAGTCCAGAAAAATGTATAAACTATACTTAAGAGGATATAAATTCTTATGAGGTACTTCACATTTTATGAAGCATTGTTCCTGCAAGTGAACATACTTTCAAATGCCATGCCATTATTTTCCATATAAACTGTTTGCTTTTTGGGCTTTCATCTCCTGGTACTGGGCAGGAAGGAAGCTTTTCTTTTTCAAGGCTGCAGATTACCAGATCAGCGGGAAACCCCTAGTGGTATACGTTTCCATAAATTTTTTGGTCTTACACCTCAGTCTACACCTCCGAGACCAAATGCCCATGGATGAGAGACTTTCTATTTTTCATGAATTATTAATTACCTTTTCAGAAAAGTCTGACAGTTCTTAAAACAATATGTACGTGCACCAACACTTTTTTTTTTAGTTATATGATTAGAATTAAAGTTCTTGAAGGCCAAATTTAAAAATCTTTCCTAGTCTAGTAATTACAAACAGTAAATATAATGAAATATTTTAGACAACACTATATGACCCAAGCACTGACACATGAATTACCTGCATTATTTTCTTTTGTCTCATGAGAATATTAATATTTTAAAAGAAGTGAGCTACTGGCATGCATATTTATTATGATAAATATATACATAAATATGATGTATATATGTATATAAATATTTTATGTATATAAATGTATTATAAATATATACATGTATATTTATGTATATAAATATATACGTGTATATTTATGTATTTATGTATATATATAAAATATATATTTATGTATATATTCATACACATAAATATGTATATATTTATATACATAGATATTATTTATATATTTATATACATAGATATTATGTATATATTTATAATTATTATTATTTAAAATAATATATTATAAATATATATTATTATTAATAATATATAATATATATTAAAATAATATATATTTATATTATTTTATATTATTTATATATATTTATTATTATTTATTTATATTATTTATATTAATAATTTATAATATATATTAAAATAATATATATTTATATATTATATTTACATATATATTTATAATATATACATAATTAACTGATATCTTTTCCTTATTATAAAAATTATTTCCTATCTAAATTATTGAACTGATGCCAAACTAGCTTTGTTGTGTTTTTGTTTTGCTCCAATAATAGAAAATTATTTGTTTAGATGTAGGTTCTTTTAAAGCATAGGAGAATCTTTTTTCTCTTGACAAATGAGAATCCAGAAGAAAAAAAAAACAGTAACTTAATTTATTTTTAAACTGAGTATTATTATCCAGATTTACTATCAAAGTAATTAATGGTAACCACTCTGCATAATATTCAGCTAATAAATGTTATGCCTTGTAAGCCACAAAGGAGTAAAACCTAATATGTTCCAAGGTTAAAGGAGACAGAGGAATGACGGCCAATCCGGGGAAATTTACTACTGCACTTGTATGAAACATCAAGGATATCAATCCTGCTTCCTCCCCTCCCTACTTCAAACACAAAGTAATTGCTGGTGGTTTGCTTTTTTTTAAAAAAAAAAAAAAAAAAAAAAACATTTCACGCTCTCTCTTATAGAAAATGTAAATATAATCAAGGAGGATAAGCATATTTGTCACAAATAGTTAGGGTTGCTTACTGAGGGTCCCACTTCAATATTTAAAAGCATGTAAATTATAGAGATCTTTTAATCCTGTTGATTATTTTAAAATATAGGAGTCACATACTGAAACAACTTATTTGATTCCTTCTGTGTAAGCCTAAATTATAGATGTCTAACATGTAAATCAAATTTTATAAAGTTTAAGCACCTTTTGAAATGAAACAGTCCTTGTGCATACATGCCACTAGAGTGCGTCTGTCTCTCTGCATACACACTAACATTCATATACATGCATACACTCACATGAACTGTTCTGTTCTATACCCCTCTTTGCTCCCAGAAAACTCAATCTCAAAATCTTCAAAGCCAGTAAAACTCTATCAAATTTGGAATAGTGCAAGCTGAATTACTCCCTATGGGCTTTAAAGCCCCAACAAGTGTTCAGAGTTTACAAGTATTCTTCGAATTTCCTAGAATGCTTTTAGCCATATATCCTCCAAACCAGAAATAATAGCTTCTTTTTCACTCCATTTCATTTTACTTTTACATACCACTTTATTATTTGTGTACAAACATTTGTTTGTATTGAGTTCATCTTTTAAAAAAGGTTTTCCATATTATGTATTTCCAGTAACTAAATCCAATAGCACCCTCCACACAGAAGCCCGTCAATAAACATTTGCAGCATTTGGCCAAAGTCTAATATCTGAATTCAAAGAAAAAAGCAATAACAAAGGCTTTCAGTCCACTTTGCATCTTATGTCATTATTAGAATTCTCAAATACGTAAAATGTTCACTGCCCAATATTTCTCGAAAATGGTATCTGGATGCTCTCTCCTGTTCCTTAATGTTTTGTCTATTAACACTTAGAATAATTTCAATAAACTTAAAATATTTGTCTTGTTGGACATCATTTACCAAATGCAGCTTTAAGCAAAATGAATACTTTTCCAAACGAACTGCTTTAAAAATCCCCTAGACCAAATCAGGAAGAGCCTTCATCTGACAGAATGACAGATTCACTGAACACATCACTATTTTTCCAGCAGGGGATTATTTTATTTTCCAATCATCTAGGTCCTAATGCTAAACATATATGCACTGAGATTAATTTATAGAAAATACTAGGGGACTTTCCTTGTAATTTTTGATACAATGTTTTACCCTGCCTGCTGTACACACAGAACATAACACATAGGAGATCTTAAAGTAGAGTGACTGCTCTGGAATCTTCTTTGAGCCAGTCTTTCTACTTATGCCTTCCCCCAGAAGAATCCTCCCTTAAGAAGAAACATACTAGGGTGCGTGTGGTGGCTCAAACCTGTAATCCTAGCACTTTGGGAGGCCAAGGCAGGAGGATTACTTCAAAACCAGCTTGAAAAATGTACTAGTCCATTTTCACGTTATAAAGAACTGCCCAAGACGGGGTAACTTATAAAGGAAAGAGTTTTGATTGACTCACAGTTCAGCATGGCTAGGGGGGCCTCAGGAAACTTAAAATCATGTCAGAAAGCAAAGGAAAAGCAAGGCACCTTTTTCACCAGGCAGCAGGAAGGAGAATGAACACAAGAGGAACTCCCAGACACTTATAAAACCAACAGATCTCTTGAGAACTCATTCACTAGTACAAGAATAGCATGGGAGAAACCGCCTCCATGATTCAATTACCTCCACCTGGTCTCTCCCTTGGGACACATGGAGCTTATTGAGAATACAATTAAAGATAGGATTTGGGGTGCGGACGCAGACAAACCATATCAGGCAAAATGATGAAACACCATTTCTACAAAAAATACAAAAATAAGCAGGCATGGTGGTGTGTGCCTATAGTCCCAGCTAATCAGGAGGCTGAGGTAGGAGGATTGCTTGAACCAGGGAGGCCAGGACTGCAGTGAGCCAAGATTGCACTACTGCACTCCAACCTAGGTGACAAAGTGAGACCCTGTCTCACAATAAAAAAGACAAGAAAGAGGGAAAATAGAAGAAAGAACACACTTAGTCCTGATTTAGGCATGATACATTCATCCAGTGAGTATTTCATGAGAAACTATTATGAACCAGGCACTGTAGTAAATGGTAAATCAGATTTGAAGAGAACCTTATCTGTGCCTTCATAGAACTTAGTCATCAAGAGGAGGGACAGAGACTATAAATAAATGCATAAAGATGTACAGTATAATCTTAAATAGAGACCAGTGTTTCAAAGGACTGAATGTAAGGGATAGTGATGTGGTTTGGCTTTGTCTGTACCCAAATCTCATCTTGAAATGTAGCTCTCATAATTCTCTCATGTTGTGGGAGGGACCCAGTGGTAGATAACTGAATCATGGGGGCAGCTACTCCCACACTGTTCTCATGGTAGTGAATAAGTCTCATGAAAGCTGATGGCTTTCTAAGGGGAAACCCCTTTCACTTTGCTCTTACTCTCTTCACTTGTCTGCCTTCATGTGAGATGTACTTTTGGCCTTCCACCATGATTGTGATGCCTCCCCAGCCACAAAGAACTGTGAGTCTATTAAACCTCTTTCTTTTGTAAATTTCCCAGTCTCATATATGGCTTTATCAGCAGTATGAAAACGGACTAATACAGATAGAGAGTGGCTGGTGGGAATTGCATCTTCAATAGGCTTCCCAGGGAATTCTCTGCTAAAAAGGCATTTCAGCATAGGATGCAATTTAAAATTTGTGAACAAGAGAAGCCAGCAAAGGAGGTAAAAATACAGAAAAATCCTGTTGTGATGGAGGAAAATAAACAAACCCAGAAGTTACTTGATGAAAGCTTTGAAAACTGGCACTAGACAAGGGTGCCCTCTCTCACCACTCCTGTTCAACATAGTATTGGAAGTTCTGGCCAGAATAATCTGGCAAGAAAAAGAAATAAAGCGTATTCAATTAGGAAAAGAGGATGTCAAATTGTCTTTATCTGCAGAGGACATAATTGTATATTTAGAAGACCCCATTTTCTCAGCCCAAATTCTCCTTAAGCTGATAAGCAATTTCAGCAAAGTCTCAGGATACAAAAATCAAAGTATTTCAAAGTTTGTTTTTACAAAAGGATTTCAATTATTTATTAGTATCTTAATCTTCACAAATAGCCAAGAATAACTTACCAGCTATTTGGTAAGTCTCATATTCAGAGATAAATACTAAACTAAACAGAAAAAGAAGAAACTAGAGCAAATGCAGACATTATCAGAAGTAGAAAAACTTCTCAAAAATATCAGCTGATGCTCTCAGGGAATTTTAAAAAATGAATTCCATCCATATGTTATATAGCATTTCAGTACTGTTTGGCACATACCTATATGTACATATTAACAGAAATGAGAAACAAATTAACAAATTTATTTGCATAACATACTAATAAGCAGGTGGTCCTGACTTGTTGAAAATGAAAGTATATTGGGTTTTTTATGGTAAATTGTGGCCAAACGATGGAAAAGCAATGAAGAAGTATAATATAATTCTGAATAATTGGAGGGACATTATATTGGTCTTTTTGACATAGGGATTCTTATGGTTTATCAACTAAAGTATTATAATTCCAAGTAACAGAAAATATAATGTATACTGACATAAAAATAATACAGTCTGGAGGCAAGGTGGGTTTTCTGAGAATTGGTTTAATCTCACAGCTGTAGTTTCTTCACACTACTCTTGCCTTTAATGTGCCCTCCTGTCTATGTTTCCTTCTTCTTCAGGTTGCTTTCCTCATACAATAAATGACTAAAGCATTTTTTGTCATGCTGTTTATACTTTACTACATCCTAGAAAAAAAGATTGTGTAAACTCTCGTAAGAATTTAAAAATTAGGAATAATTTTTCCAAAAGCAACAGTGAATCTGTAGTAATGATTGCTCAACAGGTGATGAGCCTATTATTCAATTTTCTTGGAAGGGAGATGGAATTACCCTTCACTCACTCAACACCTGGAGCTCAGGATGGAATCAAGATTCCCTAAGTCACATGAGCTACACAGGGAGAGGGTTCTCCTAGGAAAAGGGGAAAGGAGGAGGAATGCTAAAGAATCAGCCAAGGCTGTCCATTACAGCCGGTGCATTACTTTGGAATGTTCTTCAGAGCACAGAGCATTTCAAATATATGTTACTACTGTCTCTAACACAAAATAGCTAATTAAGGAATACTGATGCAATGACCACATGAATGAAAGACAGGCATAATAGAGAGGCTTTGTATAAGAGCTGGCAAAGCAATTTTAGAAGAAATTCTAGCAATTTATACTAGAAGAGAAACTGAGTTTGAAAGCCCAACATGTTTGCACTTGTAGACTTGATAGCATTCCAGGACAGAATTTTTTTTTCATGAAGTTCACTAATAACCTCCCTAGTATGGTGGGAAAGATTGCAGGTTGGGAGAATTTGGGGTGATATTATTTAAGCCTATTTATTTAGATAAGTATAATTATTTCAGTATTTCAAATTAATTTTAGGTTTTATAAAGCTAGAAAACATCCTCTAGAATTCCTCTCTAACTCTCAGAAATGGCAATTTAAAATCAAAGACGGTTTTCTCTTACTGCCTTTCTTTCTCAAAGTTCAGTTTCCTACATCGCAAGACAGCATTATCAAGAAGTCAGCTTTCATTCACATGGCTAGTTGTGTGAAACCCCTCTGTGGTTTATTTTTATTTCTAGTGTTTATATGACATTTAAAGCACCTTTGCTTTGTTGATGGATATTGAACACCAGTAATTGTACTACCTGAGCTAATTAGGCAACTGGAGCGTGTTTACCATGCCTATCAATTTTCTGTCCAGGAGAATATCTCAAAACCAGTTAACAAGGAAGAGCAGTTTGAAGTGCTTGCTTAATTGTATACACAGTATTCTCTAAAGCTAACCAATGACCTCAATTAACAAATCGAGGTTAGCATTGTTCATTTCATCCACTGTTGTTTAGCAGCCTTCTACAATTCCTTTCCCAAAATCAAGCCTTTATCTTGCAGAAAAGCCTTGTTAGGTTTGCACTAAGCCTAGAGAGAATTGCCAAATCATGGAGGAAATTATGCAGACTTGGGTTTCACTTAAACCTGAGTAGAGTTACAAGGAACAAAACCATTTTAGAGTGCTATTTTTCTTTTCAGAGTTCTTTAAGAATGTATGAAAAGATAAAAAATAACTTTATATCTTTATATTATGAACTTCTTTGGAGGATATACTAGAGTGTTAATAAAATGCCGGTATTATGCATATAATATTCCAGTGACAGGAATGTATTCTTTCTGCAAGCATTAAATAAGCTATGTCATTATCTTGCACATTAGCTCCATAACTTAAAATAGACTTTGAACATAGCTTTAGATATTTCTAGTGGTTGAAATCTATCATTAAAGAGGGAAAGAATGCAACAGAGATGTTTCAAGCTGAAAGGACTTCTATTTGTGGAAAGATAAACAAATAAATGCAGATTATGTTTAACACTTTCTGCAAAATCTAACTCATAAGACCACCCATAGTTAGGGGGCAACATTAAAGGAAGAAGAAAAAATGGTTGAATCTTGCTCAAAAAAGATAACAACAAATAAATTATTAAAA